ACTTCTTGTTTCTAAATATTATTTTTAGAAATAATTATGATTGTTGTAAAATATATCTTTTGGTAACAATTTATGGTGTTGTTAAATAATACTTTTGACAACAACAAATAGTAAAGCTAAAAGGTAGTAACGTAATTACTATTTTGTTGTTGTCATTAATATTTACCTATGGCTCATAAGCGTAAGCATAAGTATTTCTCTTTACTTATAGTATTTTAGATGTACGTATAGGTTTATTAAACATTTACCTACAAATTGTAAAAGTGTAAGAATATGTTTAAAAGTGTAGTTAGATATTTATAGTTATGGGACATATACTTACACTTTTTTGACTGTAGGTATAAGTTTTGAGAGGCATATACCTACGGATTTTTATCATATATCTATGGTTTTTGTCCATAACTAAATGGCAAAAATGCTGTAGTGGAGAATAGGACTGGATAAGACAAAAATAATGCGATAAGACAGGACTGGATTGGAAAAGATAATCTGAAAGTCTCACCCTATGTTTGGCACTCCAAAGCACAGTGACAATTGCCTTAACTAACCAAGTTTTATAATTGGACATGGGAGATTTGAAAAGAGAATACTCAAAGATGGCTTTTGCGATAACTGCAACAAATGATAAAAAAAGAAAAAACAAGCTGGCGCTTCCAACAATGGTATTTGTAGAGTGATCTTCTGCCAAATCCAACTAGTATTTATATATCCAACTCTTGAAACTAAACAACACAAAACAAATGGAGGCAATTATCTATGTTGGAAACTTGAACTCGTATCGATTGTAAGTAATGGATCTAATGACTCCAATGATGAAACCAAACAACCTAAAGTTTGTTCTTGGTTGTAATACCACCAATAGACATAGAAAAAAATTTGAAATGCACAACATAAAATTGAGGCTCCTCAAAGCATTATCATAAAATTTTTCAAAAAAAAGAGCTAGAATAAACAAGGTGAAGTTTGATGTTGAATTTATGCCATTTGATATCTATATAACAATAGGTCAACTACAATAATTTCAAATTGAGAAAAACACAAATGATTGAAAGATTATAGATGATTAATTGGTTTTAGTAAGGATAATGGATATAATAAACATAAACATGAAAAAGAGAATGACACAGGAATTAATATAAAAATTTCCATTTAGCATGCAAGATTGTCATCCTTTTTAGCATGCAAGATGCTCATCCTTCTTGTTGATGATGTGTTGTTGTGAATAGTTGGATCCAAGGTATGACCTCTATAATTGCTGAATATACCACTGCCAATATCCACCATAGTGGAGCTTTAAACTCAACTGCGGTGAATTGTAATGGATCTATGGGAAAGGACATACGAAACCGAACCCACCAAAGAACATAACAAATTACTGCATTTAGCCAGTCTTTGCATGGCATGCGGGGTTCCAAACCAGCCAACACCACAATACCATATTTGATGACAGATAACAAAGTACCTATGATTCCTTTGGCATTTATAGAGAAAGGTGACAAATCTTTAGGATAAAAGCTTCGTACCCAACAACAAAAAACAACATAACCAATTATTGCAAATAACCAGTCTTTATAATCTGCCATAGGACATATGATAAAAGCAAACGAGAAAATCCCTTGTGCAACATTTACAACTATCAAAATCAAATTGCTGATTCCATTGTTATTTGTAGAAGGCAATGAGCTATCTTTGGGATTGGGATATAACTTATAGAACCGAACACTCCAAAGCACACATCCACTTACCTTAACTAACCAATTTTTATAATCGAACATGGGAGATTTGAAAATAGAATGCACGAAGAGGGCTTGTGCAGTAAGTGCAGCAGTGGATGAAAAAAGAAAAAACATTTTGGTGCTTCCAGTTGTGGTATTTGTAGAGGGATCTTCTTCCAAATCCAACCAATATTTATCTATCCAACTCTTCAAACCAAACAACACAAAACAAATGGAGGCAATTATCCATGTTGGAAACTTGAACTTGTAACAATTGTAAGTAATGGATCCGACGACTCCAATGATGAAACTAAATAAACCGAGATCTGTCCGTGGTCGTAATAACACCAATAGACATAAAAAATAAATTGCAATGCACAACACAGAACTGAGGCTTCTTAAAGAATTATCATAAAATTTTGCAAAAAGAAGAGCTAGAATAAAGAAGGTGGAGTTAGACATTGAATTTGTGGCACAACTACAGCTTCCGCGGAGAATACGGACTTCAATCCAAAACTTTGAATAATCTAGCAAATGGAGGCCAACAAACAACAATAATTGTATTTTAACCCTTCTTTTATCAAAATCTGAACCCAATTCTGTATCAAGTAAAAGAAATGTAGCAGAGAGCAGGGCAAGTTTACCGATCAACTTGGCCTTTAGTTGACCCTTTGTTGCTTCGTTCTTGAAATGCATTTGAAGGGCTTTTGATAGATTCTTCATCTTCTCAATAACTGGATCCAATAGGGCTTTCATTATTGATTGACAATAAACCTTCAGAATTTTCCATTGATTTCTCACCTCCTCTTCAATCCAATCATGTAAAAATATTACCCCAAAGATTAGATTGGTCACTATCAATAGTGGATGAAACTTAACAACCAACCTCACAATCTTCACAATCTGTGGCACTGCTGTTGAATCTCTCATATCTTCCATCCGAGAGTAAGATGAGAAACAATTCGCAGCATAGGTGGTTTATTCCGATGAATTTTTCATCATTGGATATATACTTCTGGTTAAAGTTTTTTGTGGGACATGGATTGGTATTGGAGTCGGTCTTTCCTTGGACTTGGAATGTTATTTGGTCTTCTGTAGACTGCACTAGTATCGGCATTGAAATTTAGCGTGAGTCTGGGTCATTTGAGGTGAGTCTTCAAAGTTCAGCCGGCATGAGTTTTTGGGAATTTGGGTCATTTGAGGAGGGTGTTCAAGTCTGGGTCATTAATTTTTTGTGGGGTCTTACCTGGACTTTGATTAGTATTGGTATTTGACGCTTACTTAGCTTACTTTCCTTCCTCACTACAAAGCTATGTTAATTTTGCAAATACAGGAAGATGGTTTTATCCAACGGTGCAGAAAACGAGTTATAACATGACAAAGTAAACAACTTATTTGGGTGGGATTCGACTTAGACTTGCATATATAATAGGCAGTGCACGCATGAGGGCACTATACATTAGAGGAACCACCACCGATAAATGATAGGCTGCATAATAAAGAGGGGAGGGATTTATATTTTACAAACTGGATTGCGTATTAAAAATATAATATAATTCATAAATTTATTAAAATATTTTTAATAAAATTAATTAATTCTGTAAAA